GGCGGCGGATGACGCATGAATCGCGCGACACAACTAATCGATGATTAAATTCGTTGCCAACGCTTTTAAAAGTCGATTTTTATCGATTTTATCGATTCATTGTTGCAGCCCTAGTTGGGACATTTCTGAAAAACTAGAAACAATCTAAAAGGCATCATGTGACCCTAAAAGCGTGTAAAAAAAAAAAACAAAAACCCACAAACTTTCCATCCATACAGATCAAACTGCTAAAAATCAAAAATCTACATGACTGAGACTGTTTTATAGCCAAAGATTATCAGTGGAATGTTCAGATTTTGGGAATATTTTCTGATCTATTCTCTGCATTTTTTTCCTATGCCTTTCTTTTCATATTTCTTTTTGTCAAGTGTGTGTGATTTAGATTTTCCATAGAGCCCTCTTAAATGTGTCTTTGTTGGAGCATTCAAAGGTTATGGCCGGTTTCTCTAAATTAGCCATTGAAGTCTCCAAACAGTCCCTCTATAAAAACGCATGGACATATTCAGATATAAACAAGTGTTCTCATGTATGCAGCCATTGCTTTGCCCTTTGAAATGTGAATGGTCCTGAGCAAAGACTACAGTTTTATTGTGTCATTTAGCCCATTCCTGCCTGCTGCAGCTCTCCCAGCCTTCATTCTGGCAGCAGTAAAAAGAAATAGATTTTATCAGTACACAGCACAACTTTTTAGCAATCCCACATTTAGTAAATCTGAATCCAGACGCAAAAACAAGAGACTCTGTCCTTTACAAAGAGTCCAGAACTTCCTGCATTCTCCAAAGAGATTTCATTTTTGAGAGGTCTTTGTTTTACAAAAAAGGAGTGAATCTGTTTGAGGAACTTACAGCTTTTGAACCATGCGTTAAGTCAGTCGAAGAACAAAACTAGAATTTTGTCTTTGTCTTTTAGTGCAGATGCCTTTTGAGCCAGAGCTGTAGCAAAATATATATATATATATATATATATATATATATATATATATATATATATATATATATATATATATAATACAGTGGATATTAGGATTTAGTCAGTCGTTTTCTCATGCAGACTATGCTGTTAGATGAGAATAACTTAAACCATCCATGGATTTAATTTCTCCGCTCAACCGTATGAAACATCTTTTTGTAACTTGAACGTTAAGGTATTAAAACTTGGTGCTGCTGCTAACAAACGTTTAACTGCATGAGTTTGATTCTGAGGTAGTGGTGCAACCGAACGCCACTTCCTGCAGGGCCTCTGCTCCTCTGCCCTGGACTCACCTGAATGTCTCTTCAGTGGATCTAATCTGACCCACTTCCCTTCCTGTTGATCCCTTTGTTCTATGACATTCGTGTGGGTCACACCTTTTGCCTGCAACCAAATGAGCCTCACCACCCTGATAGATTTTATCAGTATCTTCAGTTCCATGTTTTTTCCTTTCTTTAGAGACACACTACAATCAGAATCAGAATCAGAATCAGAATCAGAAATACTTTAATAATCCCAGAGGGAAATTACTTTTGTTACACGCTCTAGTTACAGTTTTACATGATATATACACACATCCAACTATACAATATAATAAGATAAAAAATAAGAATAAAAAGAGATAAAATATATATACACATATAGCTCTTCTGTACATATATCTGTATGTATATCTATGTATATGTAAAAACTAAAATGTGGTGTGATAAAATAATGATGTAAAGATGATTATCTGTATCTTATATAATCACATAAAGTTAAAAAGAACAAAGCAGAACAGCTGAATTTTGTGTATATTTATGGAATTAAATCTGTCTGTAAAGGGGGGGCATATGAGAGCCATTTTATCATAAACTGTTTTTGTTTACATACGTCACATCGAGGCTATATATTATGCAGGTGAAATCTTTAGCCTTTATTTACTGTAGAGGTAAGAAAATACTATTAAACAAAGCAGAGATGAACATGCTGGTGGCGTTAATGTGACCCCTGACCGGCTTAATATGGCCGCCACTGGTTTGAGTCCCGGACTCTTGTCTGCCTCCCACCTATCAGAATGACAAAATAGATAACCCTAGTGCCTGAAAAACATTATAGAGAATGGTGATCTTTTTATGGTTATCTATTTAATGCAATTTTTCCTTTTAATATTCCTTGAGGTAGAAGCCTTATCCTTTATGTTTAAATTCCCAGAATGTTTTTTCTTTAAGTTTTCTTTTTTCCAATTAAAGAAAGGAGCAGCATATCCGTCTGTCCAGGGCTGAAAAATTTACTTTTTAAATAATATATTGACATGTCCATAGCATACTTTAGTTATACTTTTTCATATGAACATAGTTGCGTTTGTGCATCTAGGAGCTCATATACTGAATTTCATCAGAAAACTGATCAGAATGCATCAGTTGACTGACCTTTAAAGAGATCCTGATCCCTTCGGCCCAAAATATGTTGTAATTTTCCTAATATATCAATTATTTAATTAATATTTGTGTTGCATGAAAACTCATTGTTACTTCAACAATCATGTCTTTTGTTATACTTTTCACCCGTGGTGGTAATTTTTCATTTTTTTGCATGCTGGGTAGATGACACAGTTAGGTGTGACTGGACTGCAACCAACGGAATAAACACAGGAAAATTCACATTAGCAGAGACTGTTGTAATTTTATAAAATAACGCACCGCATGGCTGCCTCAACGTTTCCAAGAGCCGTTATACCTGAGGTATCTGTTGGAACAGAGAAATCAGAAGATAATGGACTGTTTAAAGTGACAGTGAAGCATCTTTCTGCTGTTTTAAATCATTCTAATATATCTAGGAAAAGGTTTTTATCTTGATGCTAACCGCTAACAGCCTCCTTTAGAAACTGCAGCTTTTGTAGCATAGCTTGTCTCTACCCGATCCGTTCCGGAAGCATGAACCGTTGTCCTTCTGATAGATGAAGGAGTTTTTGCACGCCGTATTCGGGCAAAAAGGTTAAAAAATAAATGTTGAAGCATTTGAAAATGAAAAACTTGAATGTGATATAAAAAGTTGCTTCACTCATTACAAGCCAATTAATTTCTGAAATAAAATTAGTATTCTGATGAAATATTGGGTGCATATATATCTGTGACAGGGCTTCCCCAAATACAGGACATGATAAATAAAATGTGTTTTTAGCTGGACGAGTCCTTTCTGATGATGGTTTATTTCCTGTATTTCTTGAATAATTTGTCCTCCGATTCTGGAGCGGCCCTTGATACCAACCCTGAAAATGTAACTGCTGTCTGTCTGACTGAATCTTGCAGGATGGATTGGCAGATGTATGTTCAGAGGTAAAAGGGCTGCGTGAATTCATGCAGACACGGTGAACGAATAAACAAATTCCCTCCTTTTCAGATGAGCCAACTGTTCACCAACGCGGGTCCACAGCAGCACTTTGACTGCGGCTCTCAGAGCTTCACTCCCACAAAAATCAACAAGACTTTGTGAAGTGAGCGAATTGAGTTGACTCGGAAAGCTTTTCAGAATTCCCATTCTGGCCCAATCAAGTGCATGTGGATGTGTTTCTCTGTGCACAGGAGGAGGGGGGGAAGGATATGGCTGCGTTGTGTTTCCTGTGTCGCAGTTTACTGTTTTTTAGAGCAAGAAAAATGGGCTTATGTAACGGTCATGTGATTTAGCCAGAAATAGTGGTGGGGCTACAGCTGCTGCCTCTCCTCCTGCAGCTCGGTTCCTTGGCTTTTGGCAGCAGCCAGACAGACACACTGTGCACTGCTCCTGCTGGCTCCCAAAACAACTTCTGCTCAGTACTGCACGCAAAAACATACATCCCATGATGAAGATCACAGAGATAATTCACAGAATCATTTGCAGAGAATGTGCATGTAAACAATCAGTCATACACGGCATGCAGTCCATGCAAAAGTCCTCTAAGTGAAGAAATGACCCTTCAGGAGCGGCGCTTATTAACATGTACACATTTCTACAACATGGTATTAGCATAAAATCAACCTAAAGCCTGGGGAAAGCAAGCATTGCAGTGGGGGGTCACTGGGGTCAAATGTGTGCCATTTGGTTTCAGCTGTGTTTTCTTCTGTGGGTATTGTTTTATTTAGCAAACATATACTGCACTTTTGTGTGTGCTTGCCTTTGTGAGTGAATGAGTGTGTTTTTGCATAGACAGGAGCATGGTGTGTGTGGGTGTTCGTTGCTCAGAGGCTGGCGGACGTGTGGGAAAAAAGGGATTGAGACGCAGCTATAGAGGAGAAGATGAGTGAAAAGAGGAGGAGGAGGAGGAGGAGGAGCGGTACAGTGAAGAGCTAGTGGAGCGGAAGGAAGCTCTCTGAAATGGGAGATCATTGGGTTTAGCTAAGGGCTAGGCAGGAGGCTGGAGGGATTCTCGCCATGTTAGCATCACTGTCAGAAATAGGCGAGCTGCAGCCAGAGCCCTGCTTCCATCATAGCCCTGCATCCTATTTACTGTAAAAGCTCCGCTAAGAAAAAAAATCTCATTTTCCTCATTTTCACTTTAATCTTTGAACTTTTCCATCATGTCCTCGTATTTAATTGAAGGTAACTCTTCCTCACTTGTACTCTTTGCTCTTGCAGGTCAACACAACTACCTGTGCGCAGGAAGAAACGACTGCATCATTGATAAGATCCGAAGGAAAAACTGTCCAGCCTGTCGGGTACGGAAGTGTCTCCAGGCCGGGATGAACCTCGGAGGTGAGCGCCCTGACGTCCGGATTTGCTCTGTCACATGCCAGCGTTTGAGTTACCGTGAGTCTGTTTACAGGGGATAATAGATGTGGAAAAGTAGGTCTGGCTGTCGCCACAGGAGGCCCAGAGATGCTGAGTCATCGGATGGACATGAGCGTAAATCTGAGCACATCTACTGTACCATATGAGATGTTTGTCATCTCCAACCGTGGCTGAAAATAAAGCTGTCGTCACGTTTACAGATTAAAATCAGAGATATCCCAATCAGGGATTTAATTCCAACCCAGTTAGACACACGGAAACCAATACTTTACTTTAACATCTACATGTTAACCTTTAGGAAATGATGAACATATTTATTATTGCAGGAACAGCAAAAGCAACATAACAGATTACTGGGTGCGTGGTCAGCAATCTGCCTTATTACACGCTGTTACAGTAACACACAACATTTGTACTATAATTAAAACAGTTGACTCTGAATTAAAATATGCAATAAATAATTTAAATACAGACTTAAGGAATCACTAATAGATACTCATAGGTCAGACGGATTAAAATGCATAGTGAAGTTATGACCTAAATATATCAGTAGGAAAGAGATTGATTTTCATCTGAGCTTATTGATTGGATAAATATAGAGGTGTAAAAGAGCCATTATAAGACTTTATTTCATTTTTATTCTGATAATAAAGTCCTAATATTATGGGAATTAAGTCAATAATATTATAGTCATGATATAAGACAGAATAAATTGTTTTAATTAGTAGTTTTTAACTAAGCTGTGAACCCAAACTGCAGCGAGAGGATATTTTTTTACAATATGCTTCATTTTCTTTTAAAGTACTGAATCATTTTATTTATTTTGTTGTTGTTTTTTTTTGTGCCAGCTATACTAAATACCGACTGAATAAACAAACAAAAAAAATCTTTTACACATAGTTTATGAAACCGAAGGAAACGAAAATCCGGTTGCTTTCCAATTTAAGTCATTCTGTGGTTGGCATGACCCGAACGACTGATAATTTACACAGGCAGGAAAAACAGGAACCTATTAGGTCACAGAATAAAATATGTTGGTATGTCGCTCTGACCTACTGTCAGGCTGAGTGCCACTTCATTTAAATAGACTCTAGCTGTACTTATTTTATTTTTTTCAAAAGCAGGTGGATTTAAGCATAAAAATAAAATGTGTACTTCTTTATAGAGTAGAATAGAATAATAGAATATAAATCCCTTTATTGTCCCACAATGGGGAAATTATTTGAGCCACATATACCATAAAAGCTAACAATTAATTAAAGTTCACTGATCAAATTGGGGTTCCTGAGCTTTTTTGTTTTAAAACCAAAAGGGGCCCAACTTCGCACTTTGACTTTATGAATTTCCTTGCCAGAACAAAAGTCTTCTGGTTAAATAATGGCGCCTTATTATATTATATTAAATTCCTGTTTTACTCATTGGTTTTGTTCTTTCTGTTAGTAAATTTAAGCTTTTGTTGTCTTTGTAACTTTAGTAGAATGTGACTGGTGGTTCACGGTTGTGCATGCTCTAAATAACTAAATAAAGAAGAGCTTTAGACTCAGATGATTTCTACTCAGTAACTTCAAGCAAAGGTGCAAAAAAAGGAGGAAAATTCAAGACCAAGTGTGAAAAAGGAAACTTGAAATAAAAATAAATATTCAATGCCAAGAGTAATAAGACAGAAGTAATACTCTGAATACAACTAAGGCTGAAACAATTAATCGGATTTAATCGATTATTGAAAAAATCTTCAACTTATTTAGTCATTGATTAATCTTTAAACGGAGAACATGTAAAAAATACCTTTAGCTGACAGAGCGACACACTTGGCAATAATTTTATCAAAAAGATATAATTATCTAAATTATAAAAAACTACATATACATTTTGCGTTTAAGATTTAAAAAAAAATTCAGTCTGTCAATATGCTCTATTCAGATTTATTAGGAAAAGTTTTAGTTTCACCTGGTTTAATCTTGTAAAATCTTTAAAGAATCTATTGCTATCGAATTATTAATGGATAAATTGAAAAAATAATAAACAGATTAATTGATTTGCAAAACAACCGTTATTGCAGCGCTAACACAACACGAGCGTTGATGTTTACTGTGGCTTGAGCCAATATATATGTGTGTGTGTGTGTGTGTGTGTGTGTGTGTGTGTGTGTGTGTGTATATTTATATGCGTTGATGCCATTTTTCTTTTCAGGCTCCAAAAGGACTAAGTAAACACTATCAGGAAGAAGATGTGGTGGATATTGTTCTATTTAAATATGGATATAATTTTTTGGTATGTTTTTGCAGTCGTAGTAAACGATTAGGCCCTTTAAACCTCCAGTGATTTAAAAGCAGTGATATCAGAGCAGTGCAGCATTTATGACTGATTATTTCACTATGGTTGTTGTTTAAAAGCCACCCCCTGCTTTTCAACACTGAGGAAATTTATAATCCAGACTACAAAATGCATAAGAAAGAAGTGAGAGGCACCCTACTGCAGGTAGGGGGGCCAAATCATTAAATATTTCTTTATCTTTTTTTCCTTAAATAATTGTTAAGTTGAAGTTTTTTACATAAATGATCCCTGATTTGTTTGTTTTTAAAATTGGTTATTTTTTCAGCTCTGTTTACAACAGAAGTTTAACAGGAAACTTAGACCTTAATGAATACCTTTGTTTATCCAAACTTTGGGGCTTAAAAAACTAACCCTAAGCTCAGTGGATTTAATATGACTTCATTAAATTCCCATTGGGACGAATTTGAGGAGCAACTTCAAGCATGAATTTTCATCATGGATGGTAAATGTGACGGCACCCTGCCCCTGCAGTACGATGCTCTTCCTCAAAGCTCTGATCTGACCTACAAACCGCTCTATAATCTTAGATACATGCATGGGTTAAAATAGTCTGCTTTGCATGTTAAAATGTCCTGAGAGGTCGATAATGTTATATATCTATGAAGCATCTGAGAGCAGAAGTCGGATCATCCTTTAATAAAATCGGTCCACTAAGGTTGGCAGAGTTTATTCGTGTTCGAATGCAAACCTGATATCATTCAGCTGAATTTAAATGTGTTTGCAAACAGAAATATCAAGCTGCTGCTGTGTTGTTTGAACCTCAGATAACCGAAACAAAACGCTGATGATATTCAGCCAGAAAAACGTTGAGTTTCTTGAGTTCTTGTTCTCTGATGGTTTCTGCAAAGGAAAAGTTAGAGGGAAAGAAAAGCATCCTAGAAACCAATGCTGTGGAAAATGTCTTCAGTCAGTTATAATGTTTACCTTAGTGGACCTTGAAGTGAGCTCTAAACCAACACCAGCAACATGATCAGTCTCACTAGACCAGCTGTTGTTCTGCTCAATCATAAAGGAGCCTCTGTAGTAACTCTGTTACACCAAACATGTCCAAAAGCTGCATTTATTGGTCTATCAGACAGAATATTCCTCCAGTTTCCATGCTATTTTAGCACCAGTCAGCATTTGCTCATTTTTCCCCCATTGTCATTCAGCCAATTACAGAATATTTCAGCATCAAATTAGGATTTAGAATAATTTCTAATTGAAAGCAAATAAACTGAACTTAAGATGGTGTCTAATCCTCGTTTACTATCTGGTTCAAATGTCAAACTGAAGGTAAAATAGTTCTGAAGTGCTGAAGAAGAAGGGTGCAAACGCTTTGTATATATAAATAAACACACAGCAAAAACAGTAAAATAGATGTGCTGCAAATTGTGTCAGACACATAAAAGATGGTAACCCACAAAACACATACAAAAAAATCATGCAAGTAGCAAAAACAAATTGAACTTAAGAAAAGCTGCAAATTATCTCCAGATTTTGGAAATGCTCCAGACCACTAAGGGGCAGCCAAACATGAACTTAAAAGAAACCAGACTCTTTGTAAAGACAAATGGTTTGCCGGTTACTGATCCATATTTATTCAATTTCAATTCAATTCAATTCAGTTTATTTATATAGCACCAATTCACAACACATGTCATCTCAAGGCACTTTACAGTTCACCAGATCATCCAGTCAGATTGATTCAAAGTTTTCTATCTAAGGAAAACCAGTTGATTGCCTCGACTCACTGACTCGAATGCAATCCCTCACACTAATCATGCTTGTAGCGACAGTGGAGAGGAAAAACTCCCTTTGAACAGGAAGAAACCTCCAGCAGAACCAGGCTCAGTGAGAGCGGCCATCTGCTGAAGCCGACTGGGGTTCAAGGAGACAGAAGCAGAGATACAAAAAGCAGCTGTAAAAGGCGGCCCCGTCCAGGAAACACACAGCCAGGCAGACGAGCTCTGAGCCAGCTCCCATGTCAGAGGATGAAGAGAGCACATCCACTCAGTCACGGTCAGAGAAACAGGACTACACTGGAAAACAGGCCGACCTCCACAGCCAAACGGCAGCAGACTACTATGAGAAAAAGCAGACAGAGCATAAAGTTACAGATTAATCCGATAACAGTTTCTGCAGAGTGGGAGAATAGAGATAGAATGAAGCAGAATGATGTCCTCCAGCAGTCTAAGCCTATAGCAGCATATCTATAGAGATAGCTCAGGATAACCTGAGCCACTCTAACTATAAGCGTTATCAAAAAGGAAAGTTTTAAGCCTAGCCTTAAAAGTAGACAGAGTGTCTGCCTCATGGACTAAAACTGGTAGTTGGTTCCACAGGAGAGGAGCCTGATAACTAAAAGTTATCTGATAGACTGAAAAAACTGAAGACCCCTACCGCCATTTTGGTTCTCCCCACTTTCAGGGAGTTTTGCCATAAAATGCCTATTATGTAATGTAATTACCACAACAATGTAATCAATACATGTAAATTACATATACATAGTTAACTTAGCACATTGGCACATCATTAGATATTGCGTATGTTTAATATTCTTAATATGTGACTACAGTATTATTATGGTCCATTAACACACTCATTGTGTTGTGATGGATTCGTATAATATGTTATATTACATGAATTATAGACTTCATAATGACTATGCAGTGTGATGTGCCTATTTTTTTACCATAAATTACAGTAATCTACTGATTACTGAAATGCAAGTGTGTGTAAAAGTGATAATTTTATCTTTGTTTTGAAAGTTGTAAGCCATCCTGAAAATGAGAAAATCATGTTTGGTGCTGTAGCGCACATATTGTTTACATTCCCACCGGTCTAATTAGGGAGTACCAATATGGCGGCTGATGACTTCACAGTACCGTGTATAACATCCTATCAGCAATCCAGTGAATAAATAGAGATCAGTGTGGCCAACTTGCCGTCCCGTTTTCATCTTTCCTACGGACCATCTGATAGATGAGAGGGTTGGAATAGTGGCAATTTTACAGCCATTTTTAGAAATATCTTGAATATACATTTCTATAAACATAAAAGTTTTGATACGTTTGGGGATATTGAAGATTTCCCATCAGCTAAACTCCAGCTATTATTTTCCTCATGGTGTTTATTTGACGAAGTAAACGGTCCCTCTGTGCAGAGCTGTGATCAGGGAAGCATTAAACCAGCCTTTAAATTAAACAGACGATTATTTTCTTTAATTTATTTTGCATTATTTGATTTTAAAGTCTTTAGTCAGAGCTGGAATCGTATTGGGTTTATGTTGCCATTACTCAGTTGATTTAATTGGTGTATATAATTTTTGATACTTGATAACGAAGCATTGCAGAGAAACATGATTAATTCAATTACAGAGTTCAAAATATGTTAAAAAATAAAGTCTTTCAATCATGAGCTGACATTAAAATAGGTAATTAATTTGACTCCAGGCGATTTAATGTAAAACTTCTATTGATAATATTAACAAGCTGCTGTTCCTGTTAATGGGGACGACCAAATGAGCTTTGATTTAAAGTCAGACGTTGATATTTTCAGCTAAAATATGAACAGACCTGAAAGCTCTGCAGAATGACTCAACCAACGACCAGAGCGACTATGAAATCATGACCGGGCCGTTAGTCCGTGACCTATTTATAAGCAATGTTTTCACAAGCAACAAATATGCCCTATAGATATACATACTTACAAAACAGAGAATGATGTCTTGTATATATGGACTCAAACATTTGTAATAAAGAGGAAGAATTGCAGATTAGAACCTCAGTGCAGCTAAAACTGTAAATACACCAGGCATGTGATGTTGGCGCCGTGGCTTACCTGCATATTTTTAAAAGCAGAAGTTAACACCCAAGTCCGCTCTATGTTGTGTATGTCTGCGCTCTCACTGATCACTGAAGAACCTTTTAAGTTATTAGATCAACAGTGATATATGCCATGATGACATAACAGTCATTTATAGCGGCTGGACGTAAAGCAAAAATATGTTTTAGGTATGTACTATCAGACTATAAAAGACTATAAAACTTTACATTTTTTGCCGGCAAGTTTTGACATTTGAAATTAATGAAGGTCTTGATTTGAAACTGTTTTGTTACAATTCAGTGACAGAATAACTCACTTTTAATGTACGTAAAATCCATTTATGTCATCCCAGTGGTGTGTAGCTTCTTCTTTATATATATTCTAGTACAGAGGTCTTCAACAGGGGGTCCGCGACCCCTAGGGGGTCCACAGAGGTACTGCATGGGGGTCACGAAAGTTTTGCAATTTTTCCCACTAACTGAAATGTCTTTAAATACCCATTAACATGAATTCACCAAACTGTTGCCGACCGATATATATGGCGCAGAAGATGTCTTTCAGTCATCAATGCACACATTCAGGGAAAACAGGAGCTCTTTCAAGCATCTGACCCATCAACGAGGAATCAGAATCAGAAATACTTTATTTAATCCCAGGGCAAAAACTATTTTGTTTTTCATTACTCCGTATGTAATAAAGTGACTATAGGACCAGTTTGACGCAACACAATTTCATGCAATATATATAATTAGGGGGTCCCCGCTTCATCTCGCCATTAGTTTGGGGTCCTTGGCCTGGAAAACGTTGAAGACCTCTGTTCTAGTAGATTATTGGTGGTTTCATGCTGACAGCTCTGCAGGAGGAGAGATCACGCCTTGGGTGCAGGGATTGTCTCCCAGCCGACTCCTAGATCAGCTTTTCTGATTGGCTGTTTTATTTCCTTCATTAAGGTCACTCATAGTGTTCTCTATAGTTCTTTATAGTAAAGGGATCCCTCCTCATCATAACATACATAACATACATCCTTTTTACATATTCTGATTTAAGGTCGATATTAAACATATTAATGACAGATTAAACAGTCATCTCTATGTCAGTGGATGTTGTTGTCATCTCTGTTAAAATCTGAAGGACTCGAAAGGCTTTGTTTTGGGTTTTTTTGCTTCAGTAAAGTTTTAAAATGACTGATCCAACTTTAAACCAATGAAAAGACCCAGCTGGTTTTCGTTTTCTTTTGCAGATTTTTGAGTTTTCTATTTTAATTGAATATTTAAGAACTTCAGATCATTGGAAGGTAAAAAAAAGATATCAGTTTATCAGAATCAGAATCAGGTTTATTGCCATTGTTAGTGAAGGAGTTCACAAACTAGGAATCTTTTATGGTACAATCGTGCAACATGAAACATATAATATGGAATAGGTAAATAAAATTATAAAAATATCTAAAACACTGTGGGTATAAGGCATGCAATAAAATAGACTAATATATACAGTATGTGGAGAGTTTCAGAGTTTAATAAAGTTGTGCAGCCTGAATAACTCAGAGAAGCATAAACGAACAGGCAGTCATACACAGTGGATATTTATCAGCACAGCATCAGCCCACCTCCTCCTTTATGCAGCATTTGCTGTTTTTATTCTCCCTGCATGAAAACATGAAGCCGTAGCATGAACTAAATCAGGGCTTGCCTAACTAAGCCAGTGACCCCAAAAAACAGACAATATAAAAACGAAATATTTATATTTAATAAGACATTTAATTATTTGCTTTTGTCTCTTTTTGTTGTAATTTTTTTAATAACATTTAAATCAGTATGACAATATACAGTACAGCATCATAAAATGTCATTTATAACCTGAAATGTAGTATCTACATATTTCATCATATATTTTTGGCCTCAATATACCTAAAGCATCAAATCGCAATGATTGTGAAAATTATCTTGTGACCCTCCCCATAGTCTTTTGGGACCCCTGGGGGCCGGAACCCCTGAACTAAATAAGTGACTTGAATTGAAAGAGCCTGATGCTCGTCTTCTAGGTCTTCGTTAAAACCTTTTATAATTTTAAAGTGATAAAAACTGAGAACTGAGCAAGATTTTACGAAAATAAAACCATTTTTATTGATGTATGAATCTTTTATGTCTCTGCCTATAAATCATCTTTTATTTTAAAGATTATAATCCCAGATTAAGAGATCCAGCTCTGACTTTGGTTAATTGGGTTGTTTTGTTCCTCTGCAGCGCGGAAGTCTAAGAAGTTAAAGCTGAAGGGAGTCAGCGAGGACCTGCAAAGCTCCAAAGATGGCCAGATCGCCACAGGTGGCGCTGGAGGCGGCTACCTCTCCTCAGAGAAGGAGCTGAATGCCAGCGCTGCCAGCGCCCTGGTGCCCCACGGGCCCGGCGTGGTCACACCTTTTCTGCCGCCCTCCATCTGCAGCGTGTTGGAGCTGATCGAACCTGAGGAGGTGTACTCCGGCTACGACAACGCGCAGCCGGACACAACCGACCACCTGCTGTCCAGCCTCAACCGCCTGGCTGGAAAGCAGATGGTCCGCATGGTGAAGTGGGCCAAAGTACTTCCAGGTTAGTGACCAGCTGAGGACTAAATGTTGCTTTTGTGCAGGAATTAGAAAAGAGGATATTTTTAGAAAAGAAAAATCTTCTAATATGAGGTTTTTATCTAACAGCTGCAGACAGATTAAGAACGTGTTTTAGATGTAATATTATAAATATATATTCAAAATATTTCCAGATGAACGTAAATCAGCCCAAAAATCCTAATCTGTACAAAATGTGCCATGAACACTGTTTTGATATTTTCTCATGGAATGAATTTTTATTATTTATTTTAAGGTTTATACTCAAGTTTTGAGAGGAAAATAATGGTGTTAGGATCCAAAACAATAATGGTTTCCTAGAATTTCTTGATGGGCAAATGCTACGGCGTCCGAGATCTGTGATCACAGCTTTTGCAGATTTTCCACAAAGAAAATCTTACAAAGAATGACGAACATCTCTGTTGATCCTCCTGAGTCAGTCCTTTGATAAAAAAAAAAAAACACTCTGCTGGAGTATGGAGTGAAATTCAGTCCTTTATTTTTGCAAGAAACGCATTTTGTAAATGGAAATTTGAAAAAGAAAGTGTGATACAAAAAAAGTGACTGAGAGTAACTTTATTGCTTTTTCAGATATAATTTATTAATCATTATTTATTTTTAATATTTGATTTTTAATATTTATTTATTTTTTTTTATCACATTTGTCTTTTTAAGATTGAATTTTTCATCCTTTGCATATTTTATCTCTTAACTTCTGGAGGCGGGCTTTCCTCTAGAGTGAGGAGCAAAGAAGCCTTTTTATTGGTCTGCTGGACATTAGCAATATCAGCAGTTGTGTAAAGGTCTCCTCCCACTGCAGGCAAATGTGGCCCAAGCCTTATTTTTTTTTTACCGTGACTTTGGTGGGAGCGACCCAGATCTGTGACGTCACTTTCTACCAAATTCCTCACATTTTTGTCACCACACTGAAAGCAGCAGCAGTTAGAATGCTGGGATACTAACGCTGCAAAAACCAATTGAAAAATAAGCTACATTTTCACTGAAAATGTGTATTTGCCATTAATTTAAGCAGGTAGATAAAATTATCAAATAAAATAAATTAGTATTCTTATCATAAATTAAGATAATTAGATATCATCGAATTGAAATAAGACTTTGGAGTTGTTGTTTCTTTTTAATGTAATTTTTTAGTTGATTGGTGAATTTCCTCACCTTTATTTAAAGAAGTATTTTCTTATATTTAATTTTCTTTCCAGTAATGCTGAGTGGAAAACACAAAGACTTTAGAGCTCATTAATAAATAGAGTTAGAACTTAATTTAAGCCTAATTAAAGGCTTTTAGAAACGTCAGGATGTGGGAAATAATTAACTTTAACTTCGTATAGGACCTTCAAACAGAGGACTTTAAAATGCTACAGAGGTCAGTGAGCAGATGACGGTTTGCATCTAAAACGCTGGCAGCACCAAGCCTTCCTGTAGAGCTGAGAGGAGCTAATATGTAAGATTAATAGTTGTCGTTTTACATAACGAAGTTCTAAAGAAAAGCGGTTAAAATCTCTGCCCCACCACTGCTAGATGTATCTTTGTATCCAGACAGTTTCTAGTGCTAAAATGGCATCAGAACTCCCTAAAGCGCCACAATAAGCAGTTTTCCTCTGCTTTTATTTATGTTTTTCACAAACAGCGCCTGCTGACACAATAAATAGCTTCTGTTGTTCTCCTAAAACATAACCATTTCTCCATGTTTAGTGTTTCGCTGCTTGTGACAATCCTTTATAACAATAAAGCTCATGCAGGTCAGTTTGGAGCCTCTAATGGTTCACAGTAAGGTCAGATACAGGCCACATTTTAAAGGTAATGGAACAAACAAACAAAAAAGTCTTCCTAAAAATAATTGATAATCGTTTGAGCATCAAGAGCTGCAGCGAGAACAGAGCCCAAAAGTCACAGTGAGGAGATGTTTCTCACCAAGAAACTAGAAGACCTGAACTTTAAACTGCATCCACTTCCCAGCGTTCAGGATGGAAGATTTTATACTCAGGCAAAAATCAATAGATTGTGTTGATCAAATACTAATACTTTTAGTTTTAAACTGTAAAATAAGATCGATTGCCTTCATCTTCACTCGTTATCCATTAAAGATGCAGCTCTGCTGGTTTAGTCAGGGTACACAGTTTCAATTTTGAATATTAGGTCAGGAAAATATTCTTAAAATCTCAACAAGATTATAAATGAATCCTATTTCAGCGTTAAATAGAATCACGATCGAGCTTTCCAAACAGAACTCATTTACATCCCCTTTGTCTGCGCGGAGGATCTCATTAAATTCAACCTGGAATGGGAATAATGTTTATAGAAGGATGAAGCGTTTCCTCTGAGATCCCAGTCAGCGGGTTAGATGTGGAAGGCTCCCTCACAGGTAGCTCTGAGCACATGCTTCATTTGCTGATTGCAAATATTTGATACCTCAAACGGTGTCTGCTTGCTGTATCCGGAAGTATAAATAGAAGCGAGACAGAAGGGTCAAAACGAGAACCTTGGACTTTCAGATCTGCCCTCAGTCCAGGTTTGGATGCTGCAGCTCAGATCACCCAGAGAGGAGCAGGAAACATCAGCGGCCATTTTCACAAACATCTCCTCGGGTTTCAGAGCAACATTGGGAAAACAGGCCAAATTAAAACTACTTCCTTTTTATTTTACACTTTCTATACAAGATAAAATTTTAAATTATATCCACACCATGAAATGCCTGGAAGCCATTTAACATCCATTTATCACAAATCCCCTCCAAATAAATGCAGATTGTCACGTATTTAGACGGAAATATTCCCTCAGCCACTATTAGTCACTGGTGCGTCCTCACTTGGCCTAGGTTTCTGCATGAGAAGGAGACTCTTGCAAGAGTTTGATTGAGAGTTTGGCAACTTTCCTGTTTGACTATTTTTGGAGCTTCATACACAAAGCGCCAATAACCGCGGGCCTGGTGGGATCTGCATAAAAAGAGAATGGGTGAATACTTGTCACTGGTTATCATGTCAAAGCAAACGGCGGATTCAAAATGAACACTTTAGCGCAGATAAGTGTGTGGAATGCAGTGACACAGATAAACACACAAGCAGAAACTGGTTTCTAAGTTTTCTTTTGCCTCCTTTAAATGGCTCCTGACCCATGATGTGTGTGTTGTGGTGTTTTTGTTTGCTAGGTTTCCGGGGTCTGCCCATTGAGGACCAAATCACCCTGATCCAGTACTCCTGGATGTGCCTGTCCTCTTTCTGCCTCAGTTGGCGCTCCTACAAACACACCAATGGTCAGATGCTCTATTTCGCCCCGGATCTCATCTTCAACGAGTAGGACTGCATCTTCATTTTGTGCTTTTTTGTAATATTTTCATCTGTTGTTTAGTTCTATTTTTTTAAAAGGACAGTTTTTAGGTCTAAGCAAGGAAAAGTTATTTATACAGCAGCACATTTCAGTAACAGGACGATTCAAAGTGCTGTACATAAAAAAAAACAAAAAAAACACAGGAAATAGTACATTGCAAGATAATTATAAAGAGAAGAGGAAAATGACTGATGAATAAAAGTAATAAATTTGCTCTATAAACTTTAATAAGTTTAACAATTTTGTGGTTGAATGGGTTCATAGTCACCTTGGTGACATCCTGATGTACAGCTTAGTTATTGTGACTTATGTTGTTTATTATAACTTCAGTGGAGCATATTGAATAGGAGGGACCCTGGGGTGGATCCTTGGGGAACGCCACAGGTGATTTTTGTAATTTCTTATGTAAATTTCCCTGCTGATACAAAACAGGGACTAACTTTCAAGTTTAAACCAGTCTAGTGCTGGACCAGAAATATCTGAATAAATTAACGATTCATGCTTGTTTCTTGTTTTCAGGTGTCATAGATACACGTGACATCAGATGTTTTAGAACAAGTGCTGATCAACTTCTCTAAATACTACTTAGGTGTGAGTGTGTGGGTGAATGGTTTGTCCTGTTTGTCTTTCTGTTGCCCTGTAATGGACTGGTGACCTGTCCATGGTGGACCCCACCTCTCGCCCATTGACTGCTGGTGCTGGCACCAGCACCCCTCGTGACCATAGCTGGGATAATCAGAATAGAAAATGGATGGAAGTGCTAATCAAAAACCAACAAATTTAAATGTACAAATCTACAACCCCTGATGAAACAGTTACACTGCTTACTAATTGGTTCAGTAATGCACTTAAAAGTTGTTTGCAAACTGCCTTTAAAGAAGAAGAAAAAGGAAGGAGATTGAAACAGAACCATTGACCCAATATTTATTTTTTTATTATTATTTTATTTGTATGTTTTTGCAGCAAATGCTTTTTTTCCCCCTTTTTTTTGCAGCAAATGCTTTGGAAACAACTCCTCAGTAAAGATATAGGCTGTGTCCGAAAGTCCGCCCTAACCCCAAAATCCCTTATTCGCTATGTAGAGCGGGGACTATTTAGTGCACTTTATAGTGAACTCAGTTAACTGACCGTTCTGACAGATTATCACTACTTTTCACTCCCTGTTGGTCATGTGACTCCACCTTTTCACATGTTGCCTGTGCATATATTCCCTATTTGTCGCCGCTGTTGGGTAGCGACAGGCGTAGTCGACAGTGGGCCGCTGTGACAACAAATCCCATGAAGAATACCAATCTATTTATATTTGCTCGTCTAGTGACCATGCATGATCATTACTTTTCAAGGTGTCCACAACTTTTTCATCCATTAGATGTGTCAGGCTCGAAACCTTGGACCTAACATTCAAACAGACAGATCCGAACGAGTTCAAGCAGTCTATATTTAGAAACTGCGTGCGGCTGCTGGTCAGCTGGAGCGGATAAACCGGATCCTCTGTAGAAACAGAAACTCAGGTCAGGTGATGAGCGGACCTGATGCCAACCAACGCCGAGGAGTCTCCAGAAGGGAATATCTGAGCCGAAGTCATAACCGAAACAAGTTCATAAACCAGACGATCAGAGAGCCGATGAGGTACCGATGAGGGAATCAAAGCCGTGTTTAGAAAAACAGTCCAGGTTTGATAAGCCAGTAGAATCCAGGAAACAGTCCAGAACACATCAGACTAACAGAACAGTAAGGGGCACAGCAAAACTCGGGATCCACAAGACAGAAACAGGTCACAATCGGTTACTCAGAACTATAATCAAAACGCTAGAGTTACTCTCACCAAACTACTCGAATAATTTGGCACTGGAGGCTTGAAAACAAACAGTATATATATGAGCTGGAAACAGGTGGATCATATAAGCAATGATGAGAGAACAGAGTTAAACAGGTGGATGGAATGAGCAATCAAGCCAGCCACCAGTGCCAGGACCATGTTCACTCGCTCATCTAAAATCACTATATAGTGCCCTATATAGTGATCTGTGTTGGGAACGTTACTTTGAAAAAGTAATTAGTTATAGTTACTCGTAACGCCGGTATTTCCATGTGGAAAACGCTGTTTTGCTGCTGGAGTCCTCCTCACTCTCCCTCTCTCTGTGTGTGCTGTACGTTAACACCGTAACAGCCAATCTCATCCTCCCCTCTCTCATAACAAGGCGCGCACAAGTCCTTTCATTAAAAAAGGTTAATTGTGCGACCTGAGTAACGTGCAGTAACAATGGTAACAATGGTAACTGCGTTATAGTTACAGTCAAAGTAGTAACGCCGTTACCCCCATCACTGATACTGATTAGGGTGGACGTGCAGACACA